TTGTTAATCTAGGAAATAAGATCATGATTGCATAGGATGTTGTCATGTGGCAACTTAAATATGTTAATTGAACCTGAACCCGAGTTCACCATTAATCGAAAGTGATTTGAATTGGTCCTTTTTTTTCCCATGTCTGCAAAATGTGGCTTGATTTTCATCATAAATGTATAGTAAATGTATGGTTCAGGTTTCTACTAATGTGTCACAAACAAAGGAATTTGGCACTGTATCGACCTTCTGTTATGGTAGCAATTGACCAACCTGGGTAATCTCACAATATAAAAGCTTTGGACCCAAAGGATTTGGTTTTGTATAACTTGTTTCAACATTTACTGACATCGAACTTTGGTTGGCTTTCTTCAGGGAAGGACAGCATTATGGGACTCTATTTTGCTTCTCTGTCACAGAATAAAGACAAGCTATGGAGGCATAGTTAGGGGAGTCCATCTTGGTTCCTCGGCTTTCAACATCCTTCCAGTGCTTGATTCAGATACTGAGAACTGAAGGACCGGTTGGCAGCAAATCTGTAAAAGAAGTGCTCTTTCAGCTCTTCTTTTTCGCTGTAGGCTGTTTGAGAGGACTCGAACCATTTCTCTGAAGGTCTGATGTGCTAGCAGGCAGCCAGTCTGTGAAGTATGTGTTCTGTTTCAGCTCCTTTGTTTCACTACATGGATGTTTGAGAAGATTGAACCATGTCTAGCAGGGTCTGATGTGCTAATCATGTTGTACTAATAGTTGTACCATGAACAGATCTTAATGCTCTTACACTAACCAAACTCGGTGCTTAACAATTGACATATCTGTATCTGGCAGGTACTTGGATTTTAATTTTGGGACTGCCTAATTTTGTGGCTTGCCTCACTAGTAATTTGTTAGGATATTTAGATAGTTCTCCATCTGTTAGCACCACTGATTGCTTGTGCTTCAGAAAATGTTCCACTGGGCTTAGGGTTTGCTGTTGTCCTATAATTTTTGCACATTTTTCTTGGGATGAGTCCCAACAAGCTCAACATAACCAGTGCTTTAGATTACTCTTAATATCTGTTTCATGGAGCATTTGTATCTTCCTGGAATCACTGGATGCTTTTTCTAGAGAAAATATCAGCATGCTTTTCAAGACTTGAGTCTTTGTCCATCATGATGTCAAAATTTAGAGCTACTAATCACAATTTTAACTCATGATTCACTCCAACAAACTAATTGTAAAACACACTGTTGCACAATAAAAGGAAGCAATCAACCATACAAGGCACAGTAAATAGTTACAAGCCTTTCTTAATAGACAATGAGTGACCAAAGGAGTCAGCAAAAACACTCCTTTGGTGTTTGGTAAATCTTATGGGGCAGTTCAGAATTCTGGAGGAGAAAAAATGTCCTCAAACTCTACAAGCCTGACAGCATATTCTCACCCAATAAGAAAAGAATTTGTAAGGTAAAATCAATACTCAATAGATTTTGTGCAGGTGGTGAGAGGAATGAATCAACGACGAATTCTTAACCAGCCTTGCCTTTCTGACGAGTCTCTGATGCAAACAGGACAGCAAAATTGAGGTTAAAAGGCTTAAATCATGGGACAGAAAGAAACTAGTAAACAGTCACTGGGCTTTCCCGGCTTCATTTTGGTGGGCAACGAGTTCATTCTCCTGGTGCAGTGATCTTCAACTTCTTTTTGGACACAGGCTTCTTCTTCCTCGGTGGAAGTGTCATTTGAGCATAAGAACGCATAGTTGCCAACAAGGAACAACAGCACAAGCCCACCGATAACTTAGTTGCCTTCTCCCTGTTGAAGTTTCCCTGCTGTCAAAACATACACTCATACAAGGAAAGGGCATGATAGTTGAGAAACAGTAATATGATTCTGAGATCAGATGATAAGCAAGTTTAGTTGAAGTCAAGAACAGCACTTAAGACACTGAGATGGAAGATCAGAACAAGATAACGAAAAAGAAAGGCCAAATTCTAAGTCAATTAGTTCTATCATTCACCATATGAACACCATAAATATATAAGTAAGAAATGATATGGCATCGATGATGGCAAGTAATAAATGATTGTCACTATTATTTTACAAAAGAAAAGAAAAAAGAATCGTAAGTTCAATCTGCTTAAACCCTCTGAAGCATGGAGATGGACGCGACATATGAACTCCTATAGAAGACAGACACCTTGTGAATCTCAAATCTTGCAGCTAGACTACTGGTTGAAGCACAAACAGGGCACAGGCAACAAATCATAATCGATGCAGGATAGAAATTTCCACTAACAATGATTACTTTATGGAACACTACGAACTTGCTTTGCAAGTATCTCACAGATCCCGCTTGAAATAGGGTACTGGCATTCACAATCTTTACTCGTCTAAACACCATTTCGGGCGTTCAGCACATCGATCTCATTATCGTGCTCTATGAGTTAAATCGTTTAAAAGGATATGAATAATTGTAAGCATTCAGTGTGGAACATCAACTGAGGGAGCAGTGATTGATGCAATAATGGTACCAATCAACATCAGATCTGCACCGATCTCACACAACCGCAGCGCGATACGTGCGGCGATAACACATCAAAAGCGAAGATCAGAAGATGAGGCCTTACGGAAGTTTCGGAGAACTGTTCATCCATGGCGACAGATCGCACCAAAAGCCGCCCCGCACCCTCTTCTGCGTGCGTCACGCGTCCGGTTGATAGGAGAAATCGATGGCTCTAAAGGAGGTGGAAACCCACCGGAGAAAGAGGACATCGAAGGGACGAATCAAGATGGCTGCCTCTTACCTTCCAGCGATTCCAGAATCGGAAGGATTCGCTGGATTCGACAAGACGAGGTGAAAGAATAACCGGAGATGCGACGGGACGGATAGAGCACGGGTTAAAATATTAGGTGTAGACATCCGACGGGTCAATTGCTTATCATATTTTTTATTGTCTTACTTGCAAATCAAGTCAATTGTGAGCTTTATAATTTGATTGAATTAGATGATATAGAATCCATAATATTATTATTCATATATTAAATATATTTATATTTGAATATTATGATAAACTTTATAAATATTATTATTATTATTCATAAAATTTAGTATTATTATTATCAGTATTGATAGTAATTTTTAATTTTTTTTAAATAAAATTAGTTAATTAATTAAAATATATAAATAACTCATGAATTTCTCGTCCTCCTATATGAGATAAGATAAGGATAAAGATGAGGATGAGAGAAGCACTCTTGGTCCCTTTGACATTTAAGCATATCAAGATGTAATCATGTACATTATACATGATAAGTAATGATATATAGACAACGATATCAATTCAATTTTAAATAAATTAAATTAATCGAATTGATCTAGTTTGATTTGTAAATCAATTGAACCGAACCTACAACAAAGAATTGAATTGATTTCATTTTGTTAATTTTTTATCTATATTTATAAAAATTATATTTATTATTATTTTTTATTTTATATATTTTTAATATTATTAATTAGTTTTGATAGTAATTTTATTTTTAAAAATAAAATTAATTAATTAAAATAATATAAAGGATACATAAATTTTTCGACCCATATGAGGATTTTTCATCTCACCCTCAAAAATAGAATATGAGATAATGATAGAAATATGAACGAAAATAGAATATGAGACAATAATAAAGACGGGGATAGAGAAACACTTTTGGATCTATTAATATTTTTAGAGTTAAGACACATCAAGACATGATCATATGTATTATACATCAAGACATGTTACAATCGATTGCTATTACTGCTCTATTGTTGCATTGATTCTTAATTTCACAAAAAAATATTAGACATCACCTCTGAGTCTCATAATTTGAGCCTTACAAATGAAACCGAGGGAAGCAGCTATCCCTACACGACGCTTATGGTCCTCTTTAGACGGAAGAGAGGACTATTTTGGAAGATGGTGACAACACAGGCCAAAGATTGAGACAACGGAGTTGCATCTTAATAATGAATCGGTGGGGACTATTTCTAGTACAGCCACCATAATGGAGGCCAATGATATTGGAACGAAGGAGAAATGATAACCTTCTCATGATAAGCTTCGAGTAAGGCCAATGATCCTTTATTCTTTTTGTTTGTTTGCAAGGAGGGGTTTCCATCACTGGACTCGGTGTTCATCTACCAAACATGGCATATTCTCTATAATAAACCTAAGCAAGTTGTTCTTCAGAAAGAACAAATGGAGATTTCTTGGTAAACAAATGGAGTTGTTCTTCAATCCACTTCAAAACTGACATTACAAAGCCTCCAACTTTGTTGTTATTCCCTACTCCTCCTTGTGTTCTCCATCCCCCCCAATTGTTCTTTTGTTTGATGGTTACCTTCTTTATCCTCATCATAAGCTCCATCGTAAAGCATGCGACGAGTTACCCATAAACCATGGAATAATCTATGTTTGGTGGACTCAAAAAGTTTGCGGGAGACTTGACCATAATAATAATAAGAAGCTAAGTTGGATGAGGACTTCAACATTGTTATATTTAGCTGATGTAACGCTAATGTAGTAAAGTAGCATAACGTATGCGATACATGTGGATCCATGTGACTCCAATCACCGCGGATGGCTTGCTTTTGATGGGTTGAGATCGAATGGAGGAGCAGACAATATATAATATTCGAATTCGATTTTTAGGTGCAAGAACACATTGATGCGCCTATATAATTTTGGGTGAAAATTTATTGACTCCCACATAGAATCTAATATAGTAATCATAATTTTGTTTTTTGTTTTGGTTAGAGATAGTTATTGGGGAGCAAAAGAAATAATTTCAAACGATGAATGAATAAATAAAGCGAGGATGGAGTTGGTGTCTGTTAGTTTTGATGAGGAACTCTGAAGTCAATGAATCATTCTGCCACTCCAAATCTATCGGAGTTGTTTATAGAGATTAATCTTCCCAACTGCTGATTCGAATCTCTCTCTCTCTCTCTCTCTCTCTCTCTCTCTATAAATACTCTCCATCATTCTCATTAATTTCAGCATATACTCTCTCTATAGTTCTCTAATTCTGTATCTGTGAGTGAGCCAGAGGCATCAAGAAGAGAGAGAGAGAGAGAGAGAGAGAGAGAGAGAGAGAGAGGCAAACAAGCCAATGGGGTTCTGCACCCTGTGCTTGTTGCCTACCTCCTTGTGCTCCTCCTCCTCCTCCTCGTCCTCCTTTTGTATGTGTCTGCTGTTGCTGGTGGGGAGCCTCGCAGCGGCGGCGGCTTGCACGCCGGCGGAGCAGCAGGAGCTGGACAGGATCGCCCGCCTCCCTGGCCAGCCTCCCGTTGACTTCGCGCAGTACTCTGGATACGTCACCGTCGACGCCCGGGCCGGCCGAGCCCTCTTTTACTGGCTCGTCGAGGCGGCACCGGCCGCGCAGCCCGCCCCTCTCGTCCTCTGGCTCAACGGCGGCCCCGGGTGCTCCTCCGTTGCCTACGGCGCCTCCGAGGAGCTTGGCCCCTTCCGGATCAGGTCCGACGGGAAGACCCTCTACCTGAATCCTTACGCCTGGAACACCGGTGGTTTCTCCCTCCAAGATTCGATTTTTATGCGTTTTCGCCGTGCGTCTTACCGTAAAAACCCTTCCTTTATGAGCTTTGCTCATTAGTTTTTGGCGTTGGTAGTGGCGAATGTGCTGTTCTTGGAGTCGCCGGCAGGCGTTGGGTTCTCGTACTCTAATACCTCATCGGATCTCTACACTGCTGGAGACAACAGGACAGGTTAGTTTACTGTCTTCAAGAAAAGAAAAGAAAAACTCATCTTTTTTCGATCATTACAAATTTATGTTCTTTTCTGCTTCATTCTTCCTCCTTAGCTGCGGATGCCTACAAATTCCTCGTGAATTGGTTCGAGAGGTTTCCTCAGTACAAACACCGGGAGTTCTATATAGCCGGAGAGAGTTACGCAGGTACCGTGTGACTCATAAATGTACAACCTTTTTGTCAAACGTTTCTGTGTTTGAAGCCAATCCATCGGATCTCCAAATTGGTTCGTCTCTCACCTCCCAGGGCATTACGTTCCACAGTTATCTCAGCTTGTCCACAGGAAAAACATCGGTACTCAAGATCCCACCATTAATTTCAAGGGATTTCTGGTAAATCCTGCAACCTGTTTGATGCTTTCCCGTTTTTTCTGGTTCTTGTTGAGGTTAGATTTGATGCTTGGAGTCTCATTTAAACTCAGGTTGGTAATGGAGTCACTGATGATTACCATGATTATGTTGGGACCTTCGAGTACTGGTGGACTCATGGCCTGATCTCAGATGCCACCTACCGAATTCTGCGGGTTCACTGTGACCACGAAGTCTCTGAACACCCTTCTGATGCATGCATAAAGGCCCTTGATGATGCCGATACAGAGATGGGGAACATAGACCCCTACAGCATATACACTCTTCCATGTAATGATACTGGATCTCTTAGGCGCAACCTAAGGGGTCACTATGTGAGCACTCTGCACTATTCTTCTTCTTCTTCTGTCATCATCATCATTATTTTGCTCAATGTTTATGTTTTGTCGTATTAGCTTAATTTTACTTTAGTTGAAATTGTATGAGTTGGATTAATTCTTCATCTGCATCTTGTGTTCTTGCTGTTAAAATGCAGCCTTGGATGTCCAGAGCTTACGATCCCTGCACCGAGAGGTACTCCATGGTATACTACAATCGTCCTGAGGTCCAAAAAGCACTGCACGCGAACGTTACTGGAATACCATACAGTTGGGAGACATGCAGGTTCATTTTAAAATTATTATGATTTGTTTATGCACTATAATGGGAATCTACAGTATGTTTTGATGGGTTGAAATGACATTAATTGCTTTGTTTTGAATTCTCAACAGTGATACTATCGGAGACAATTGGGGAGATTCACCAAAGTCTGTGCTTCCTATTTACCATGAACTTATAGCTGCTGGCCTAAGGATATGGGTTTTCAGGTACATTTCAAACATTTGAGGAAGAACTTTTATTGTGTGTTTTTTGTACTTAACTTTATGAACTTATATATGGGTAAATTTGCATCAAAATTGATGGAATTAATGTATCTGTACTCTGTATTCTGAAAGAAACAGAAGTATTAACTCGATGGCAGCTAATTGAAATGAAGCAAATGTTTTTTATTAATATTTTTAGTGAACTTTCACCAAAGATAAAAAAGACGGACTTGTCTTCATATTCCTTTTTAACAGGTCTCCTCTAAGGTTAAGAGAATCCTAGTATGCTTTTTTATTCATTCTCTACTAATTTTATTTTTATTCGACTCCTTCGCAGCTAGTTATTCAACAAATAGCATCCCTTCTTTTACGACTAAATTTATGCTAGTTTCTTAATTATTCAGTATGTTTTGGTTGTGCTTGTGAAGCTCAATGGTTTGTAATTCTAAACCTTTGAACAAATACTCCAATAATGAAATATCCAAGAAACAACTAATATCAAATTGACTGAAAGATTTCACAACATAAGTAATACTTATTCATCTGTAATGAGAACTTAGTAGGATAAGTCTTCATTTGGTGAATTTTTTCTTCTCTTTAAATTATTAGAGCTTTGAATCAGATGTGTGTTACTGAACCATTAAATTGTATTTAACCTATGAAAGAAGTGAGTTACAAATGAACAAACCTTTTGTCTTGTTTTCTTACCATATGGCAGCATCCCATAGAAATCACAAATTCATTTTGGCTTGAGGTTAAGCATAATTACTGTCCATTGCATATAATCATTCATTAATGCAGTTCTCTGTTTTCCTTCTTAAACTGCACTTTTTTGACAGTGGTGATACAGATTCTGTAGTCCCCTTGACTGCAACAAGATACTCCATTGATGCTCTCAAACTAAAAACTCTCAAGAATTGGTATCCATGGTATTACGATGGAAAGGTCAGACACAAGAACCCTTTCTATTATGCTACTACTTGTTCATGTACGTTATCGAGATGTTTCGGAACCATTTCATGCTCTTTACATGTTTAATGTTATAGGTCGGTGGATGGAGTCAAATCTATGAAGGCCTAACCTTTGTGACTGTTACTGGGGCCGGACATGAAGTCCCTCTTCATCGTCCCCGACAAGCTTTGATACTCTTCAAGCGTTTCTTGAAGAATAAGCCCATGCCATCTTAAAAACCATGAGAAGGAAGCTCAATGGAACCTTGGGTTGCTGCTACAGAGAATAAAAGATGGAGAGCCGTTATCTTCTCCTTTTGATTTGATTCTTGGTGGATATAATCTTCTCTTTGTTCCAACTTTCATTTTTCGATGTGTAATTTGATATCGTTTTGCGTTTTTTTTTTTTTTTTTTTAGCAGCCAGCAACTATACCATATCATTCGATGTCGCCTTGAATAAAATGCAAGGGTTATGATCAAGCTGTTTATTTATGTATTTATTAGCTAGAGAGTAATTAGCATATGTCATTGGTCATTATATTGCCCCCTCTATTGCTAGCACTGTATGTTTCTGTGCTTTCCAAGGATAACATAATCCATTAGGTCTCAAATAGCTAATCATGTTCTTTCATCTCTTTATCTACTAATCTGTATAATAGGTTTGCTTTTGAACCTAATAATTGTACTTCAATTCAAAGATGTGAGTAAACAAGGATTTGAATTCACATCTTTCATCATGAGTTGATGTAAGAACATCTTTTCCAGCTTGTTGGCTTTCCTGCCTGCACCAGGAGAGACCAAGGCACTGTATCAAGTGCAGTTTGCAGCTTACTGTGAAATGTTAATATGACTTGCAAATAAGGAGTTGATGTGGTGACAACAATTAGGCTCCTTGGATTCTTACTGCAGGCTGCTTTATGTGCACATCAAACCAGAAGATTTCACCAATCCAAGACTGTGTTCAGAAAAGGTTTTCAATGGCAAGAGCAAAACAATCTTGCTTATGAGAAGTGCTATTGCATTATATCATTTTGATGCTTGTCAAGGGAGGGAGAACAAGTCTTCATGGATGGCTAAAGCAAAATGGCTCCTTTTATCATTCACAAAGTCATTCCAGCAAAATAATGGCTCTCTTACTTTAAGGGTCTTCAGCCCTTTTGAAGTCTAGCAAATGATGATTCTCTCACCGGAAGGGTCTTCAACACTAGTGAAGTCATTCTAGCAAAGAATGAAGGTCTGACTGGAAAGTTCTTCAGACCTTCTGCTATTCTCTTTGCTATAGGATTATAACAAGAAAAAGGAGCACAGCATTCAGTCTGGAAGCAGAAGCAAACTCTGGTCCAAAATATAACGTGATTCATGTAGTAAAAAATAAATAAACAGGAGATTTTGTGCTGAAATATCCATTAGACAAACACTGGCATATTAGTACTGAAAGGAAAACTGAGGCTTCTTCTTTCACTATTATTCTCCAAAAGTATCAGTTTGCATGATCAATCTGAACAGTAGATAAACGAAGTACCCATCACTGACGCTGCAAAACTCCAGTTGGAATTATCAAAATGAAAACAGATGATTCCTCTTAGTCACGAGCTTTGATGAATCTGCAGCCTGCAACAGGTAAATGGAGCAATTTATGCAAAAGAAGAAAAAAAAGAGAGCACAGGTCATCAACAAGATTAGCTCAGGAAGTTTAACCATTAGATCGGCCGGTGGAAATTTGGAGCACCCCGTTCATTCTCACGAAAATAATCAGATAACTCAAATAAAACATAATAATGCAAAGTCCCAGATATGATTCTAAATGTAACTTTTCAGTCTACACATTTCAGATATTCAAAAGGATCTATGATGATACCACAGTTAGCAGCATGTCATTCTACAGATTCTTTATTAAGCCATTGCAGCAGCTTTCTTCTTCTCCTCGAGTTGCTGCAACTCAATCAGCCTTTCAGCCCAAGCTTTCTCCCTAGCTACTGCAGCCATTTTTCTTTCAATCCTCTTCATGTCCCTCTTTTTCCTGGCCTCTGCCTGTTGAGCTTTGCGCTTCTTCTTTTCGGCCTATTATATACATAAAAGAAATAACATTAGCAACATGCAAAATCTGATAAAATATGGAGCCCATAGCCCTAGTCAGATATGCACCATCAATTGCAGCAAACTGAAAACCAAAATATATCTACATATTCCAAAACACAAAGCATGAAATTACTTTATTATTATTAACTAAATGCAAAACTGAAACAACTTCCACATCAATTAAAATAATGAAAATGTACAGTGCACCATGAAGCAGTTGCCCTGAGTGGATTTAAGCAAAATTCCATTATATCAAACAATCACACATGAGTTTCCCCTTAGATCTTGCTGCTGTCAGCTAGTTCATGACAAAATTGTGCTGCACCCACAATTGCAGGTGATGGGAGCATGACGGAGATGTGGCAACTAAAATGACAATGAACAGGACTATGTTTCCCTATAGAGGCACTGTAGCCCACTTGACAAGGAGTAACAGAGGAAGAAGAAGGACGGAGGCCACTATTGGTAAAGGTATCCGAACTCTTGGCAGAGTCTTCTTTTCTAGGGAATGGTAAATATTAAATTTATTTGTCATTTTGAATAAGGATCTTGAGTTTATTCTCTGATGCTAGAGTTCTATAATCTTTTAGAATGAGGAATTAGATTCCTTAAGTGGAAAATTTGATATTAAAAGGAAAACAAATGTACTTTTTGATCCTTTGCAGGGTATGTGCTACTCTTTCTTTGTTTCTCATGACAATGATATCAAATGAAAATTATACTGTTGTCAAAGAAACATCAGGTATGGAAACTATAGTTACTATTTGGAAGATGTTCAACAAAAACAACCAGTAAATTTCTAAGATTAATAATAGTTGAAACAAGAAACTCCAATTATATAAATGAGAAAACATGCAACACACCAAGATAAATGCCTTCCTCTGCCTGATGCGCTTCTTTCTGTTCCTTCCCTGAACACTTCCTTCATTTGGTCGACTTACAGGAATTGGTTCTCCAGGCACATACTGCACCCAAGCAAAAGGGCCTGCAGACTTTCATTCGCATGTTATCATAAAGCCAAAGAGTAAATAAACAATCACATACAGTCTGAAGTAGTTGTCTAATGTGGTATTCAGAAAATAATTTATCCAGATCTTGTGAAACCTAGTCTTGGGCTTCAGCATAAAGATGGGGAGGAAATAAACTAGCAGGTTCTCAATTTCTCGAAGGACTCTGTTGCAGCAATTCTACATGAGATTCACTCATCATATATGAAAAATAAAGACAAAATTTACGTAACAATGCAAAACCTACAAAAACTCCCACAGGAAATCAAGGTCTGAATGTATAGATGGATTTGACATCACAAAACCTCGTACAACCATTACTATCATAGATAAATTTCCAGTCAAGACTTAGAATCAAAATCCCAACTAATTACGATCCATGTAGAAATCCTGGAGGAAGACTTCTGCAGAAGTTTAACATAGCAAATTCTATGATTGTTCAGTTATCTCACAATTATATTCTTTCTCGATGAAGAGAACAAATGAATTATCACACTTAAGCTCTGTGATCAAACAATCACAGCTACGATGGTCGACATGCCAACTCTTTGAATGAAATATGATCATGACAGTAGGAACATATTCTACATATATCAGGACAACATAACAATGGACAGCATTCTTTCGAGTATTAAAGGTTTTTATGGCCAAGGAATTATGCAAACCAACAAAGAAGTTCCAAGCCACCATGCCTTTTTTCACCATTATTCAATGTATCTTAACAAGGAAGACCAGAAGTGGCAGCAGTGGTAACTAATATCAATAAGAAAAATATGTTAACTATCCAAATTATCTTCAACTGGTCATCTGAAATAGCTAATGTGTCCAGTAAACTAAAATAGAACACTGCTAGGGACATGGATAGATAAAATGGGACAGAAGAGAAAAATGCATCCGCAATCAGATTTGAGACCCCAAAGTGTGTTCCAGTTCTTAAATCATCAATGGAAAAGATCTGATGCACCACGAACAACAGGTTCCTAGAGTTATGTGAAGATCCCTGACTTGAAATTAACCTCCAGAACGCATATAATTGATCAGGTCTATGATTTAGTGATACTGAGATGATTCAGAAGAAAAACAAATTGAAATGGCCAAATGTAGGGCTGGAATCTCTTAGACATCGGCATTGGATAACTCACAAACCTCGAGGTCTAAGGCTCGCCCTTTTCTTCCGAGGCTTCGTCCCGGGCCTCCTCTTCGGAAACCTAGTATCAGTCAAACTGTTAAAAGCTGTAGCACCGGCGGTAGAAGTCGAAAAGAGCTCCCTTTTGAAGCTCGATCCGCCGACGGTGTCGAAGAAGATACTCTGGTGGATTCTGCTAGTGGAAGCAATCGGCGATGATGAAGAAGAGACTTTCCTCGACAACGGAAGCGAAAGCGAAAGAAGACATCGAGCCGACACGGGGCGGAGGATGTTCCTCAAAGCGCCGCCGAAGGCCATCGCGATTTCCCGCTAGTTATACCAGCAAGATGCAGTACCAGCGCATCTGCCAGCAGTGACACCGGAGAGATTAGACTCAGATCCATCAAAAAAGAAACGCAATTATATCATGTATTCAAAATGAAATCCACGAGAACTCAAAAGCATCCATGACAAGATCGAATTTTTCCGATCCACTTGTTCAAATTTCGATTTCAATCGAGTACCAGGGTTCAAGAAACCAAATTGATCGATGAAATATGACAGTAGTTGGAGACCATTTCTTCTATAGCTGGATCGGCAAAAGCCTAGCGCTGAACCCTCATCGTTACCCACCTCTCGGAGATGACGGCGACGGCACGACCCGAGCGAAATGCGTCGCGTATGCCGCGACCTAAAGCGAGGGGGTTGCGACCACGGAGAAGCCTGCCCACGCACCGCTCACGTGTCCCTGTGCAGTCTTGTGTTGACCCGGCATACCACGTCAGTCGCATCAACTCAGTCACCTCCCACGTAAGACAGCAGGGCCCCACACACACACACACACACATATATATATATATATATATATATATATATATATATATATATATATATATAT